AAAAACAAACAAAACAAACAAACAATTTTCAAATTTATTCACCTTTACAGAATTGTCTTCCGAAAGGAAAAGTGTTAGAGGTAAATTAAGTACATATCCACATTTTCTCTTCTTTATGATTATTTCGTCCAGCAGGAAGGAGGTAAATATAGCGATCTATTTGTTGCTGCACTGAGAAATTATGGAATGATTTGTATTGGCTTGTACCGATTTCGAGACACAAGCAATTCCTGTGAGGCCTCGACCAAACGTTACGTTATCACAAATCCACCGGCTGAATTTATTCTTCTACCTACAGATAAGGTAATTTTGTCATTGAACACATTTTTAATAACCTAAATATTTGTAATAAAAGTCGTTTTAAAATAATTCCAGCAAAAGTTTCTACATGAAAAAGAGGAAGAAAAAAATTATATTGAGAAATTAAATTCTTGAAAAGAACAGCCATTTGACTTTAGTTATCTTGATTTGTTGATCATTCATTTCTTATATTATTGTCTAAGAATATCTATATATGTTTCACCCCCAAAATATTTGTCCTTTATTGATTTCTGATTATTTTGATTTGTTCATCATTCATTTCTTATATTATTGTCTAAGAATATTTATATATGTTTCACCCCCAAAATTTTTGTCCTTTATTGATTTCTGATTATCTTGATTTGTTGATCATTCATTTCTTATATTATTGTCTAAGAATGTATGTATATATATATGTTTCGCCCCCAAAATATTTGTCCTTTATTGATTTCTGATTATCTTGATTTGTTGATCATTCATTTCTTATATTATTGTCTAAGAATGTATATGTATATATATATGTTTCGCCCCCAAAATATTTGTCCTTTATTGATTATCTGATTAAATTTCGTTTTAGTAAACACGGTTCAACGCTGTTTTATTAATTTAGGAAAAAATGTAACTAATAACTATATCAAACAAGTGTACTTTTGTATATATCATAACGTTTTAAAATCTCCTCAAATGCAACTTAGCCTCCTGGAGGCTTTGGTGTCAAGATCGGTAAAACATAAACATTTCTTAACGTAAAATTGTATATTTATATATGTATATACAGGGTGGTCTTTCCTGTTTTAGAATTTGATAATTAAATATCTAAGGAAATACAACCATGTAGTTTTTAACATCTTGTAGTCTAACTCAAACAGTTTATATTGCCTTGTTTTGTTGTTGTTTTTTCACTCCAGTGAATAGTGCACCCCGTGAAATGGCAACCATGCAAGAAAAGGCTCAATGCGTCGTTTGGCTTGCAGAGACCAAGTCAGTGACTGTAGTGCAGCGTAATTATAAACGCTAGTACAGGAAAGAAGTATGGGGTTATGTTAAGGGTATCGTGCATTGCATACCTATAGCAAACACCAAGGAGCTAAAAACCAGGATAACGGACACCATCGCCACTGTGGCTGTAAACATGTTGCAGTAAACGTGGACTGAAATCTAATATCGGTTAGAAATACTCAGAGCCACTAATGGTGCACTCATAGAAGTCTACTAACATGTCACTAAAAACTGTTTGAGTTGGACTACAAGATACTGAAAATTGCATGGTTGTATTTTCTTAGTTCGTTAATTATTAAATTTAAAAATAAAAATATACTTTTGGGCTACCCTGTGTATTATTTCATTAAATTCTAGGTTTCTACAGTCGATATTTCATGTAAATATCTCTCTTATTAACTAACAATGTTTTTGATTTAAGACTTGATATTTTCTCAAAATCAAAAAGTAGGATCAGTTAAGATAAAATGAGCGATCAAATAAGAGACTCATTAATATTGTTTTACTTTCTAGGTTTATGTCTTACTACAGTTTGACCCAGGAATGGAATACAAGCCCAACAGGGGAGAGGAGATGAAAGATGACCATTCCTGACTTTTACTCTGTAGCGCCTTGACAGACGGACCATACTCATTCATTTGATCCCTACAAATTACAAGGACAATTTTCGGTTTACCAAACATTTCTTAGTTTCTCTAAGCTCAATTACCGGGCGTTTGCTTGAGTATTTAGACATATTTCAAACATATAACTTAAATGAACTGCTTTAAGTTCAGTGCAGGTATACATTCGTCTTACATACTTAACTTTAAAGTGTCCACTTTAACTATCAAACCATTTTTAATAATACAACAGTTTTTCTTGTCAGTTTTCAAATTACTATTGTTTATACAACTATTGCTTGAATACAGCACTTAAACTTTTGTGGGCACAAGCTTTAAAAGTACATTAAATTTATGTCTTTTTAACGCTTCTGGCAGGCTTTCATTTACTGAGCACGCACTTATCTTCGGTTATCGAAGTTTCCATTAATTGTTACCATTTGGCTACTATATTGTATTTTAATATTATAAACAGTTTGTATCATTAAGGGACCGGGGTCAAATGTATAGGTATAAAACGATAATATAGAACCACCCGCTTAATAAATTTGGACTTGGAACCAGATACATATACCATAAACACTTCTTTATGGGTATTTTCTCCCTTGTTTCGAATGGTTAACGGGTGGTGTTTGAATGTTAGATTCTTTCTACTAACATCAGGAATGAGGATGCTTATTCTGTCAAGGCTGCTACAGGAAACACTCTCTACAATGTTTTTACTCTTTCCGCTGAACATTTCAGCACTCTCATGAGGATATTATAAACCAAAGGGATCGCAAGATGGCGCTGATTCATGGATATTTTACTGTGATTTTAAATGTTTGGCTAATGAGTATTCAGCCTATAAAAATCAAGTGTGCTTCTATTAATTACACCTTCATTGCCTTTTTGCAAAGTTTCGTAAGAGCTTGAAACATTCCGACGACGAGGATCACTTTCGCTACACTTGTGTGATCGAATCCTTTATGACATAATAAGATATTTCAATGGATTTTGAGTTAGAATGCTGACACACATTAAAGAAGACATCTGCTTTGTTACAACAAAAGAAATTATTGCCGAAAATGTTGCAGGTGATCTCTGTCTGAGCATTTGCTGTTTCCATTTATTTGTATTTTATATTTTGCAATTGTTGGCACACACATTTTATCCTGTTAATGCATAATGAACTAAGACTATTCATTGGCTATTATTTGTTTATGGATGTCCCTGTGAGATGTTTCACCGGTAGGTGATTGTTTAGTGTGAATTATTAAAACATATATAGCGATTACGATTCACCCAAAATGGTCAATAAAACTTTGAAGCTCAAAGTTATAGCAAAGTGCAACGAAACTGATCGTGGTTTTCCTGTAGAAACCGGATACTAATAGCACACTAAAACAGAATTACATTAATTTATAATTCATAAAAAAGTAACATTATTGTTTAATTTTACGCCAATATGTATGTTTGAAACTTGGTACTAATAATCACGTATGATCAGAGATCGCGAAAGTTTTAAAATCATGCCAGGCTTAGAATTTTTGGGGAAATAACACTATGTTAACACATTTCAGTGTTATCAGAGTTACTCGTATATCTCTTTAAAACAAGCACCCAATTAAATACATTACTGTTGTAACCTACTTTCATCTCGTAATATATGTCCATGTAAAAATAAGATGTAAAACTACAATCATTATTCATTTGCTATTGGTGTTGGCTGGTTGTTCTTAGTGCAGGCTGTTTCTCTACAGGCTACCAACCCATTTCTTCTTAACAACTAAAAACATAGCGTAAACAGATAAGTACAGTCGGGTCGTCCCATGCTTAATTGTAAATTTTTTAGATCACTAGCTGTGCCATTTTTCTTGTTTTTTTTATGATACCTTACACCCAAAGGTTTCGTGCGTGTTTATTAAAATGTCTATTTCTAACCAATTTAGCTTCAGAATACCTCATTAGAGACA